TAAAATTTGTTTGATTGGTGTAAATCCGTCCATAGATGGCACTATAGCAAAAAAGTGGTCATAACTCCTAAACCATTTGTCCAATCAACTTGAAATTTTGCATGCTTCGTGTTAGTCTCGGTTGCTATGAAAATCTATGAGAACAAAGTCATAAATAAAACAAGATGGCCAACATCAGCCAACAAATTTCAGTGGCCTTTATACTCACTGTAGCTGTCACATGTCATCATGAAACTGAATATTCTTGTTAAGAATGCGGAAAAAGACCCATTTTTATTAAAGTTACTTTGATTGGCCATATGACAGCACTAAAGAGAGGTACAATATGTCTGGGCAATTACTTCTAAACCATAGGTTGTAGAAACAAAATTCTGTTTTACTAGTTCATAGTGGCGCTTTAGCAAACAAATGGTCATAACTCTTAAACCAATTGTGCGAGCAACTTAACATTTTTCTCACTTCATAATGGTGAAGGTTACTATGAAAACCGGTAAGAACAAAGTGATAGTTTAAAAATGATGGCAAACATCAGCCAATAAAATTTCATTAAACCCCACACTCACCTTAACTGTCATCAATCATGAAACTTTATACTATTGTTTAGGCGGTGTAAAACGGCAGCCTTCATGCAAATTACTTTGATTGGCCAGACGGTGGCGCAATGGAGAGGCACAACAAATTTGATTTCAATTGGCCAATTTGTGGCACTGTAGTAAGAAAAACTATGTAAAATTGCACATTTGATTTCAACCATTTGACTCACTGGTTCTAATTTTGCATATTGTATTTCTGTTTGAGGATCAAATTGTCTTTCCAATGAGCAAAATAAATCTTTAATTATTTGGCTGCCATTTGTCAACCAGGTGACAGCTGCTATTTCAAAGACATGGCAGTGACTAATTAATGTGAAATATGCAGAGCAAGATATACCATGCACAGTTATGTGCCATGAACTAGAAATTGTTTGAAAAAGTTATACAATTTATATCCTCACTGCTTCAAGGCTGATCATTTCCTCATGTTGCTTGGACCCCGTGATTACCGCTTGCGGTTATATTAGTTTTTTTTTTTTTTTCTAATCAAATTACAATAGGTGTCCTCATTTGCCCAATGTTGCACCCAAGCATAAAAAATACTATCACTTGTGAGCTTACATTACAGTAAAGCCTGAAATTAACCAAGTGAGCTACAGTGCCAATGGCACTATATTTTGCATTTCCCATAAAAGTGGCAACTTTTTCGGGACTTGTTGTTGCACAGAAATTATGAGAGGCCACTGGTGTGTTTGCTGTTTTGAATTGCAGTCTTTAAAGAGTGAAATACACACCGACATGGACATGAACACCTGTTGGGGTTCATGCTCATGACTACTGAGCAAGATGTTCGTATGGCCTCAGATGATCGGATAATTGCTTGAGGGAAATGAACTGCTCAAACTTTGCTGAATTTGTTTTCTTCCAGTTCTTGCTTACTTATCATTTGTGATAATAACAAATAATGTTCTGTTATTTGTTTTGCAAACCTCTAAGATGATTCCATAGAGTTATAGCCGTGATCTTCAGGTCCTTTTAGCTGCCGAGTTAGCTCACTCGGTTAAGGCGTTGCATTTGCGGAGCAGTAGTGACTACCATGGCGCAGGTTTGATCCCCGGTTGTACCAACTGGCAGTGGTCGGCAGCTTTTTCAGAGCAGCGCACGATTGTTATGTTTCTGCCTCATGTGTGTGTTTTGTCATTGTGCTTTTCCTTTTTTCATTGTGCGTGTGCCATTTTTTCCGAGCCTCACTCCTTGTTTCTGTTTCAGCTTTCTTTCCTCCGTCTGAGGATTGATTTACTCTTGCCTAACTCCCGTGATGTCGATTGACAGCCCTGAGTGTGCCTGCGTCTTGTTGTTTAATCACACTTCCTCATTCGGAATCGGCTGTGGTATTTCATTTGTTATTTCCACCTGTGCTTAATTCCGGGTCTCGCTAAACTCTGAGTGAATGTGTTCTCTGATAGTTTTATTACTAACCCGTACTAACCAACACTTATTGGGGGTGATTGAATGTATTTATACGTATTATTAACCCTGATTAACTCATTAGCGAGTGCGAGCGTTTCTTGCTTTTGGAATTTCTTCCTAAGCTTTCCCTGTTAACTATGTTTACGTGATACTTTCCTTCGCTTCTCTGGAGGTGTTTTTATACTAGTCACATTTAGATTACCTTGATCTAAACTGTCTAGTTTGATTGATTGTCTCAGTGTCTTGTCTCGCGTCATTATTGTTATCCCAGTTTTCGTGTGCATGTCTATTAATCCCATTTTTTTCTTTTCACTTTGAGATTGCCTTCCGAGTTCCCGCCTCCTTCCGTGTGTATTTCAGTGGGCAAGGTGGAGAGGTCATCAGACAGAACTTTGTCAGCTTTAAAATATTGTGAAATCTCTGCGCCAAAACCTTCCGAGTACTTTTCCTGTTTGAGCCATTCCCGAGTCCTGTGTTTTTGCTGCGTCCAAGTCTTGTCTCCCCTTAGTCTAAGTCTCCCAGTGTTTCTTGTTCCGTCAGTTAGTTAGGTAGTTTTTGTTTTCTAGTTTAGATTTGTTTTGCTACTCATTGAGTGTGTACTTCTGTTTCCCCCTGCCTTGGGCAGTGTACTTTAGTTTTTCCCATTTGTTCAGTGCATTGGCACGGTGTTTTATTTCTGGCCTGCTTGCCTGCTTTTCTCCCTTAGTGTTTGGTGTTTGTAAATAAACTTGTTTTTTTTTCTTGCATCTGGTGTCCATCTGACCACTTCTTGACAACGATTGGCTTTGCACTGCAGGGATGCAAAAAGGGGCTGCCGGGACTGGATAAAAAAATAGTTCCTTTGTTCGTTGCTCACGCGCCTCCTGTTGGCCAGCCGGGCGCTTGTCAGTGAGATTCTAAGCCTGCTCATGTTCAGGTATCCTCCGCCCTCATTCTGAACTTGCAAAGTTTTGACCAATGAGTGTAAAGAAGCAGTGGCTGACAGGCGCGTGCTTCGGAGGAGAGCCGCGAACTGTCTTCACTCTCCCGAGTTGGCAACATGGGGTCGCATACGAGCAAGCCTTGTACATAGTTCTGGAATTGGGCATTCCAGATGAGGGTGGGATTGGAGATGCCAAAAAAAAAAAAAAAAAAAAAAAAAAAAAACAGGCAGGATTTGGTTGTGAAAATCACTGCATGGGCTTGAGAACTCATGTAAACCATTATCCGTGAACACAGGTTGTTGCTGCATTCGGAAATTCAGGTAAAAACTCTGCCATGTAAAAAATTAAACCATACACCGTATAAACAAGATCTGGGAATGCAGCCGCCTTCTCTGGGCCAGAGCTCATTTAAGAGACTCAGGGGAAGTTGAAAACTGTCCTGAGCTCTGACCAATCAAAATGTGAGATTCTTTTTGGAATTCATTGACACCACGGCCTCTGGGCTAAAGAAGAGATGCCGCCATCTGGCTTGTTATCAGTATGAAGTTCAAAAGACAGCATCCATGATTGTAAGGGGGTGCATTAGTGCACATAGCATGTGTAACGTGCACATCTGTGAAAATGTCATTAATGCTGAACAATATATAAAGGTTTTGGAGCAACATATACTCGCATCCAGACATCTTTTTCATGGAAAGTTTTCCATATTTCAGCAAGACAATGGCAAACATCACATTTTGCCCGAATTACAACAACATGGCTACGTCTGCCTGAAGTCTAGACCCGTCACCCGCTGAAAATATTTGTTGCATTATGAAATGACAAAGATAACAAAGGTCACGAATTGTTGAGTGGTTGTAATCCTATATCATGCAAGAATGGGGAAACATTTCACTTTCAAAACTACAGCGACCCTTGGACCCCAAATTCTTAGCGAGTGTTCTTAACTTCTTAATTGTCACCTGCATTTTCTCAAATTTGGCCCAGATTGGTAAACCACATTTCAAATGCTCACTGCTCCCACATACAATGGTTCTACTACACATGCATGGTCTCATTGGAAAGATAAGACATAGAGGTTTTCAATGAAAACATTGAAAACATTGACATCATAAAATGTTGTGACTTACTGTCAGAGAGTAACTGAGACTAGAATAAAGAGATATATTTCCACTTGCATCATACACCTCTGAACAGGACTTTGCCTATTAATTTGGGTGTGTGGGGTGAATTTTCAGAGGCTACCAGGCCATGGCCAGAGGCCAAATGCATCTGTGGTCAAAAGTTGATCCCAAAAGAATGAAAAATGAATATTTTACAGATTTATTTTTAAATGTATGTCCATGCGTTTGCCTGGATTGATTGAGGATTTAAGTCATAGTTTAAAAATTCAAAATTTGTTTGAAAATTCCGTAGGGCCCTAATTAGGGCCCAGTGACAGTTAACAGGTTAAAAGAGGAAGCATGCCACTGTCCCAACTTTTTTGAAATGTGTTGCTGGTATCAAATTCAAAATAAGCATTTGTTTTTCAAAAAAAAAATTACAATAACATTTCTCACTATCAACATCAGAGTTGTAGTCTTTGCACAATTTTTAATAAAATAAAAAGTTTAAATTATTTTTCAAATCATTGCATTCTGTTTTTATTTACATTTTACACTGCACCTCAGTGCTTTTGGCAAAAGGGTTAATAACCCTCCAGTCCTGCTGGAAGTGGAAATTAGAAAGACCTCACCAGCAAATTAGGGTTGAGGTGCTCTTCAAAAACAGTAAAGTTTAGAGGAATGAGCAGCTCATGGGTGTTATTGTTGAAACCTTGAACAGCCATGATGGCAGGATACACAATGTTCATGTATAGATCATCAGAAGGTACCCCTGAAGTATATTCAAGACCTGTTTCAGAAGTCATACTGCTCCTCAGTAAAAGGGCATTGCGAAATAAAAAAATAAAATAGGGAGGGAGTGTTCTGGCCACACAGTTTTGTGCTGCATAAGAGACACCTAGTGGTGTAAAATTTTAGTGCATATACGTTCCTGTATGCAACTCCTCTCCCTTGTCATAAATAACTTTTGTGCTGCACGGTGGTGCAGTGGTGAGCACCGCTGCCTCACAACAAGAAGGTTGTGTGTTCAAACCTGGCCTGGGGCCTTCCTGTGTGAAGTTTGCATGTTTTCCCTGTGTTCGCATGAGTTAACTCTGGTTTCCCCACCCACAAAAACATGCATTACAGGAACACTCCGACCAGTACCCCTGACCCAGGAACTAGCTTTAGAACTGGAGTTGGTCCCCGGGCACTACTCTGTTGCTGCCCGCTGCTCCTAACTATAGGATGGGTTAAATGTAGAGGACAAATTACCCCACGGGGTTCAATACAGTGTGTTTTATCTTATCTAAGGTCTAAGTCTGTAAGTACAGTATTTCTGTATGTAGCATGTAAATTTTTACTACATATTCCTCTGTATTTTCTGTTTTCAGAACATTTTTTGTTGTGGAAATACAACCCCAATTCCGAAATAGTTGGGACAGTGTAAATTGTGAATAAAATCAAAATGCAATGACTTTCAAATCACACCAGCCAATATTTTATTCACAATAGAACAGAGATAACATAGCAAATGTTGAAACTGAGAAATTTTAAAATTTTATCCACAAAATGAGCCCATTTCAAATTTGATGGCTGCTACAGGTCTCAAAAAAGTTGGAACAGGGGCCTGTTTACCATGGTGTATCATCCCCTCTTCTTTTTAACACAGAGTGGAGGCCATCTGGGCATTGAGGAGACAAGTTTCTTGAGTTTAGCCATTGGAATTTAATCCCACTCTTGTTTAATACAGGCTTCCAGCTGCTGGAGAGTTTTGGGTCTCCTTTCACGGACTTTTCGTTTAATTACGCGCCAAATGTTCTCAATCAGTGAAAGATCAGGACTGCAGGCAGGCCAGTTCAGCACAAGGACTCTTCTACTACGAAGCCATGCTGTTGTAATAGCTGCAGTGTGTGGTTTTGCATTATCCTGCTGAAATACACAAGGCCTTCCCTGGAATAGATGTTGTCTGGAGGGGAGCATATGTTGCTCTAAAACCTTTATATACCTTTCAGCACTCATGGTGCCTTTTAAAACATGCAAGTGTCCCACATCATATGCACTAATGCATTCCCATACCATCAGAGATGCTGGCTTTTGAACTGAACGCTGATAACAGGAAGGGTGGTCTTTCTCCTCTTTAGCCTGGAGGACATGACGCCCATGATTTCCCACAAGAATGTCAAATTTGGACTCGTCTGACCACAGGAGACTTTGCCACTTTGCTACAGTCCATTTTAAATGAGCCTTGGCCCACAGAACATGGCGACGCTTCTGGATCATGCTCAACAATAGCTTCCTTTTTGCATGATAGAGTTTTAGGTGGCATCTCTGGATGGCACGGCAGACCGTGTTTACAGACAGTGGTTTCTTGAAGTATTCCTGGGCCCATTTAGTAATGTCAGTGACAGAATCATGCCGGTGAGTGATGCAGTGGCGTCTGAGGGCCCGAAGATCACGGGCATCCAGCAAAGGTCTTTGGCCTTGTCCCTAACGCACAGAGATTTTTCCAGTTTCTCTGAATTCTTTGATGATGTTATGACCTGTCGATGATGAGATCTTCAAAGCCTTTGCAATTTGATGTTGAGGAACATTGTTTTTAAAGTATTCCACAATTTTTTACGCAAGCCTTCACGGGTTGGAGAGCCTCTGCCCATCTTTACTTCTGAGAGACTCAGCCTCTCTAAGACATCCCTTTTATAGCCAATCATGTTACGCACCTGATGCCAGTTAACTTAATTACTTGCTAAATGTTCTTTCAGCTGATTCTCTTATATATTAATTGCTTTTTCAGCCCTTTTTTGCCTGTGTCCCAACTTTTTTGAGACCCACTGCAGCCAGAAAATTTTAAATAAGCTCATTTTGTGGATAAAAATGTAAAATGTCTCAACTTCAACATCTGAAATGTTATCTATGTTCTATTGTAAATAACATATTGGCTTATGTGATCTGAAAGTCATTGCATTTAGATTTTATTCACAATTTACACTTCGTCCCAACTATTTCGGAATTGGGGTTGTAAATGCCAATCGCTAATAGGATCTCTTCATTACCATCAATTTTAAATTTGCTTAGATGCTAATAAGTCCGCTAAGCCTCATTATAATGGCTGCTTATTTTTTCTTGTGATTATTACATGCTAAATTTAAATTGTATATTCATGTATGGGTTGTTTGTAATGCCATATTTTTATATTTCCACATTAAAAAAAAAGAAACATCCTTCCTGAAAGCCTTGTGCTCTGTTCTGGTTTTCTGCGTCTTTGTTTCAAGGATCTAATGTTAGCTATCTGCAACGCGGACCTTTAAAAAGCAAGAGCTGAATACTCACTAATTTGTCAACAGATCCGTAAACTTATAATACATTACTTGGACAACAACATTCCCCAAAAATAAATCAGTAAAATTTCTGACAATTCACCCGCAACAGTGTGTAATAATTAAGAGATGGAAGGAATCCCCATGAATCTTGGTGCAAAAAGTGCAACCACTTCTGAATGTGCACAATCTCCTGTCCTTCAGACATCACTTCAGACTCATATCATGACGTGGGTTTGGAAATACTTTGGTAACCAAGTTAAGTATGCAAAGCAGAAGCCAAACATGAATATTATCCTAAAATACTGCCAACATCTGTGGGCTCGGTATCATCTGAGATTGAGAGCAGCACAATGGATTCTTGTTTTGCGGTCCGACAAGTCTAAATTTCAAATGGTTATTGGCAAAAGCAGTAGTGTTCTACAGACCAAGCATGAAATGGTCAACCCAAGCTGTTATCAGCGTCACGTCCAAAATCCAGCATTGGTCATGGTATGGATGAGTGTTATTGCTTGTGACAACGGTGTCTTGCACATTTGCAAGGACACCATTAAAGCTGAAACATACATATCGGAGCAACATTTGCTGCTATAAAAACATGGCCTGTGCCAGGGACATCCCTGCATTTTCCAGCTAGACATTGTCAAGCCACATTCTGTCAGGATTTCACAGCTATGTAAGCAGAAAGTGTGGGTACTAGGCCGGCCTGCCTGAAGTCCTGATCTGTCTCCGACTAAAAATGGATGGCACATTATGAAGCGAAATATATGGGAACGTAGGTGCCATACAGTTGTGCTGCAGAAGACCTGCATAATGGAGGAATGGGGAAAATAGGCTGGCTTGACCAACTGCTGTCTTCAGCGCCCAGATGCTTGAGTGTGATGTTAGACAGTGGTAAGCCTTCGACAGTACCAACTTTTTAGGTCTCTTCTGCAGTCATCACATTGTACATTTTTACATTAGAAAATATTAGAACATCAAGCATTTTGTTGTTCTGTTGTTTTCAATGCATTTGAAATGAGTCCTTCCTGATCTAATTTGCATTCTCTATGGTGTGACAACTTTTCTGAACAGAGGCTCTAGGATGCTACTGTTACGACAAGAGAAAAACATTTACAGGCTTGAAAATTGCTGTTCAATAGATTAGAGACACATCACTGGTGCATCATGTTCCTTTGATTACAAATGAACATTGACCCTGAGAGGAAGTGTCAAACACGTTACATGACTATGAATATGAGCGCGCAAATGGCATTGCCAACCATGATCTTATCCATTAAATTGCCTATAGATTATTTTTTGTGTCAAGTATGCATCAAAAAGAATATGGAGATTTTAACCTGGAAAGAACTTTAAATCAGAAATGTACAGATGAATGCTTTTGTGACCTGAGAACTGAAGTTGGATAGATAGAACTGTTCTTTCAAAGCATAAGGGATGACACATCTGAATAGGCCAGTCAGCACTAACAACAGTAGGCTTCCATTGTCCTATTCATGAAACATTCCTTTGAGCTACAAATGTAGTCTCCACACTCACAGAAAGGCACACTGTCGCAGTGGGCCATGTTTCCTTGACCGTGATAGACCCTAGATGATTCTACCTTGGCTGACTTTATAAAAGGCAGGGAGAGACCTGAGGTGATTCTGCATCTCACCTCAGCACAACCCCCGTGAGTACGAAGGAGGAATTTTATCTAAGCACTAAGGGAGGCATTGCAGGAAATGGCACTGGAATTTAAAGACCACAGAATCCTGTCACCTCACCTTCACTTCACATTCAATAAAAAAGGCATCAGTGAGGGAAGTAAAATCCAGAACTATTTCACTGATCTATTCTCCAGATTTCATGAGTTTTCTAAATGCAGATAACGGTTCATATTGACTTATTCTATGTTATAAATTACACATATTAATGATCTCAATCACAATTATTTGGTTTAGTAATGTGCATAAATAAACTAAGCTGGTTAAATTGCTCCATGGAAACATAAAGCTGTCAGTAGATTGGAGCAGATATCAGTGAAAGGTGCAATTTCACTCTGTGAATATTCAACAGTAACAGTGGTATTACAGGAAAAAATTGTTATCTTTGGATAGACAATTGCGGCAAAAAAATCTTCATTAACTCATTAAACTTATTAACTCATTAAATCTCAATGAAATCATCTGCACTTATTTGGTAATGCTCCATGCAACAGGTTAAATATTTTAAACTGAGTGAAATTCTGCTTTAAACATGAGAAAATAAATGACAAAAATAACTAAAAACAAAAAAAATTACTGAAAAACGAAAAGTCCCTATTTGACGCTTAGGGTCAGGGTTCCGGTTAAGGGTTCGGGATTATAGACCAGGAGCCCAAGGGGGTCAGCCTTGCTGGGAAGGTTACCAATTCTAATCCCTATCACAGTGTCAGGCATGGGCCCCAATAGAAGGTTCTGGACTTCTGCTGGGCTCCAGCTGGTGAAGTGTAGTAATGAGGGGTAAAAATGTGACACGCCCAACCCAGCTAGATCAATCTAGAAAGTAAGAACTTGAAACATGAAACTGTGTTTAATGCTGGTCATCTCCACACCTTAGGGTGAGGGGTGCCAGACAATTTCATTGGTGGGAGGGGTCTGGCAGACAGAATTATAGGGGTCCCCAAAATTGAGCTAGATCAGCTCATTGAGTTACAGGATGAAACCTGGTGCAAAATGTTCAGCAAACCCCCTGTTTCAGGAATGGCCACTGCCAGAAATTTTCTGTGG